GTGAACTGATCTAATCATTCCGGAGAGCAATTTGGAACTATGCCCAAAGTGCAGACAAACTGTGCACACCTTTTGATCCAGCAATATTAATACTGGGTCTGTATCCCAAAGAGATCGTAAAGAAGGAAAAAGGACCTCTACATACAAAAATATTTATGGTGGTAACAAAATATTGGGAAATTGAGGGGATACCCATCAATTGGAAGAAGGTATGGTATATGAATATAATGGAATACTACTGTGCAGTAAGACATGATAAGCAGGCAGATTTCAGAAAGCCTTGGAAAAAACTTGAACAAACTGATGCAAAGTGAAATGAGTAGAACCAGGAAAACACTGTACCCAGTAAATTATCAACTGTGAATGACTCAACTCTTCTCAATAACAAAATGATCCAACATAAGTACAAAGGACTCAGGAAGGAAAATGCTATTCACATCCAGATAAAGAACTAATGGACTCTGAATGCAGATCAAAAAATACTTTTTTTCACTTAATTTATTCTTTTTTGTGTTTTTTCCCCTTTTGATCTATTTCTTCTTCAACAACTGCAGCTAATATGGAGATATGTTTTATATGACAGGTCATGTATAACCTAACTCAAATCACCTACCATTTTAAGAGGGGGGAGGGGAGGGTGAGATGGAGAAAATTTTGGAACTCAAAATCTTGTAAAAATGAATGCTAAAATTGTTTTGACGTATAATTGGGGAAAAAAACAAATACAAGCATAAAAAGGAAAACAGGAAAGAGAAATCATCAGGGACTCACTAAGGTTAAACTGAGTTTTTGTTGTTGCTGTTCAATCATTTTCATTCATGTCCAGTTCTTTGTGACCCCATTTTGGGGCTTTCTCGGTAAAGATACTGGAGTAGTTTGCCATTTCCTCCTCCAGTTCATTTTATAGATGAGGGGACTGAAGCAAACAGGGTCACAAAGCTAATAACTGTCTGAGACACGATTTGAACTTAGGTCTTCCTGATTCCAGGTCTGGCACTCTCTCTACTTGTCATATAACTGCCACATTAAACACCTCATCTTTTTATATGGGAAGATAGTACCTGTATATTCAAAGAACTTTCATTATTAGGGTTGTTAGAACAATTCTACATAGAATGAGAGTGTGGGAGTGAGTCAGTTATGTTGGGGTGATGTTTTAAAAAAAAAGTAGGTGAGAAAGAGAGATGCCCTGGAAGAAGGGGCAAGGAAGAAGATGAATGGGGGAAATTATCTTATGTAACAGAGGCATGGAAGAAAGAGCTTTTACAGTGGAGAGGAAAATGGTGGTGAGTGTGAGTAATGCATGAATAATCTAAATAGGCTGAGAGGGAAAATACACGCACACACACACACGCACACACACACACACATGCTCAACTGGTAATAGAAATCTACACAACAGGGAACTAGGAGATGAAGGGTATAAAAGAAAGAGGGGATAACAAAAACAAGGATAGATAAAAGACGACAGTGTACAAAACAAAACAGACTTCAGAGGAGGGATAAGATTAAAAAAAGAGATTGAGATAGATAAATAGAAGAAAATAGGATAGAAGGAATTGTAGTTTAGAGGCAGCTATATGGCTCAATAGATAGAGTACTGGACCTTGAGTCAAGAAGACTTGAATTACTGGAGAAAATAACAAAACTCTACTAGTTGGGCACCTTAACTTTCCCCTCTGAGAACTTGATGTCTTACCATAAAATAAATAAAAATGAAATTGAGGATGTAAATAGAATCTTAGAAAAGTTAGATGTGATAAACCTCTGGAGAAAACTGAATGGAAATGAAAAGGAGAATACCATTACCTTAGATGTAACATGGCACCTTCACAAAAACTGACCATGTATTAGGGCATAAAAACCTACCTACAAAATGCAGAAGAGCAGATATATTAAATACACCCTTTTCAAATCACAATGCAGTAAAAATTATGTTTAATAAAGAACAATGGAAGCATAGATTAAGATATATTTGGAAATTAAATAATGTAAACCTAAATGGCGAGTGGGTATAGAAGATATATAGAAATGATAATTTCATTAAAGAAAATTATGAGAATGAGACAACATTCCAAAATTTGTGGGAGGAAAGGAAGTCAGTACTGAGGAGAATGTTTATATCTCTGAATGTGTACATCAGTAAAAGAGAGAAAGAGTCAATCAATGAATTAAGCATGCAAGTAAAAAAGCTAGAGAAAAGAACAGATTTAAAATTCCTAATTATACACCAAAATGGAAATCCTGAAAACAAAGGAAAGATTAATAAAATTGAAAAGCATTTACAAAAAAGATGAATCTAATAAAACTAGGAGCTGGTTTTATGAAAAGCAATAATAAAATAAGACATTGGGGGGTTTTTTTGGTTAAAAAAAGGAAGAAAACTACATTAACTAGTATCAATAAAGAAAATCATGAATACAACACCAAGGAGGATGAAATCAAATTGTTTGTCAGTAAAACTGGCACTCTAAATGCAAAGAATGAATATTTACAAAAATATAAACTGCCCAGATTAACAGAAGAGGAAATAGAATACTTAGATAACAATATCTTTGAAAGAGAAATTGAATCAGCCATCAATGAGCTCCCTAAAAAAATCTCCCTAGGACCAGATGGATTCATGAAACATTTAAGGAATGATTAATCCCAATATAACATATGGTATTTGAAAAAATAGGTAAAGAAAATGTCCTTCCAAATTCCTTTTATGACACAGATATGGTTATGATGCCTAACCCAGATAGCGCAAGAACAGAAAGAAAACTCTAAACCAATTTTTTTAATCAATATTGATGCAAAAATGCCTGGTATGATTTATACAAGGAATTCAGAGCTAGTTCAATATTAGGAAAACTTTCTGAATAATTGACCATATCAATAACAGAAATCACAAAAATCAAATGAATATATCAATATATTTAGAAAAAGCCTTTAACAAAATACAATACACCTTCCTATTCACAACACTAAAAAGCATAGGAATCAAATAATAAGTAGTATCTAAAACCAAGAGCAAATATTATCTGTAATGGGGATAAATTCAAAGTCTCCTTAATATGATCAGAAGTGAGTCAAGGATGTTCATTATCACCACTATTATTCAATATTGTACTAGAATTGTTAGCTATAGCAATAAGAGAAGAAAAAGAAATTGAAAGAATAAAAATACACAATGAGGAAAAAAAACTCACTCTGCAAATGATATGATGGTAGAAAACCCTAGAGAATCAATTTAAAAAAACTAGTTGAAAAAATTCACAACTTCAGCAAATTCATTGGATAAAATAAACCCACATAAATCATCATTTCTACATATTGTCAACAAAGCCCAGCAGGAAGAAATAGAGAAATTCCATTCAAAATAACAGCAGACAAAATAAAATACTTTGAAGTGTACCTGCCAAGACAAACTCAGGAATTATATGAACACAATTATATAAAACATCTTTTCACTCAAATAAAGGCAGATCTAAACATAGAGAAATATTGCTTTTTCATGAGTAGACCGAGTCCATATGGCAATTTCACCTAATTTAATTTACTTCTGTGTCGTATCAATCAAACTACCAAAGAATTTTTTTTATAGAGCTAGAAAAAAATAGTAACCAAATACTTCTGGAAGAACAAAAGGTCAAGAATATCAAGGAAATCACTGAAAAAAAAATGTGAAGAAAGGAAGCTCCAGATTTCAAACTATATTACAAAGTGGTAATCATCAGAACAATTTATTACTGGTGAAGAAATAGAGCGGTGGATTAGTGGAATAGATTAGGTATACAATACACAATAGTAAATGACCGTAGTAATTTAGTGTTTGATAAACCCAAAGATCCAAGCTTTTGGGGGAAGAACTCGACTTTTGACAATTTCTGAGAAAACTCCAAAGCAGTTTGGCAGAAACTAAGCATAGACTAACATCATACACAGGAAACCAAGCTAAGATCAAAATGGAAATGATTTAGACATCAAGTCTGACATCATAAGTAGATTAAGGAACCATGGGAAAATGTACTTGCTAGCCTTATAGATAAGGGAAGTTTATGGCCAAACAAGAGACAGAGAGGAAATAAAATATATAACTTTGATTATGAGAAATTAAATGGCTTTTGTACAAAGTCAGTGTAACCAACATTAGAAGGAAAACAGGAAACTGGTGAAAATTTTTACAGCAAGTTTCTCTGATAAAGGCCTCATTTCTCATATATAGGGAACTGAGCCAAAATTTTAAAAATAAGCCATTCCCCAGTTGATAAATGGTCAAACAATATGAACAGACAGTTTGCAGAAGAAGAAATGAAGGCTATTTATAGTCATATACAAAAAAAGTTGTCATTACTGTCAGCTCACACCTGTCAGATTGTGATGGCAAAGAATTGGAAATTGAGAAATACCCATCATTTGAAGAATGGCTGAACAAGCTGTGCTGTATGAAATACTATTATACTTTGAGAAATGATGCATACTTCACCTCTGCAAAGTGAAGTGCGCAGAAACAGAAGAACATTATAGATAGTAAGAGCAATGCTGTAAGGATGAATAACAGTGAAAGACTTAGCTATTCTCATCAAGACAATGATTCAAAGAAATTCCAAAGGATCCATCATAAAAAAATGTCCATCTCCAGAGAGAGAATGCAAATTGAACCATGCTTTTTTAACTTTTTAAAAAAAATTTTGTTTGTTTTCATTTGCAACATGGCTAATATTGAAATATGTCTTTCATGATTTCATATGTATCATCAATATAAAATTGTTTTCTCTCTCAAGGAGGGGGATAGGTGATAAAGAGAGAAAATTTGAACACAAAATTTTTTAAAATGATTGTTAAAACTTTTTTGCATAATTGGGAAATATTTAATGAAATAAAATTATTTTAATACAAAAAATAAGGACAGGTTTTAAAGTTATTTATATGGAGGAAGTTTTAGTTTCAGTATTTGTTTTTCTGTTGTCATTAAAATATTTCTATTGAACTAAGGACCTGTTTATGATTTTCAGACATGTCAAGGATAAGAATATCATAGAACTTGTTCATCAAGTTTCTATGGGGATGAAATATTTGGAGGACAACAATTTTGTGCACAGAGATCTGGCTGCAAGAAATGTGTTACTAGTTACCCAACATTATGCCAAAATCAGTGATTTTGGACTTTCAAAAGCACTTAATGCTGATGAAAACTATTATAAGGTAAGTACATTCAGTCCATGTCAGTAGTAACTAGTTGTCAAAAAATTGGAATTTGTATCTACCTATCTCTGCAATGTTTTTATTAACAGTTGAATTTAAAAAACTATTTAAAACCAATTATGTACAAAAGAAGTTGTCCATTTTCATTATTTTTGTCTTCTATGATCATGTAAGACCTTTTGCAAATTGTCAAACCATGAGAATTAGACCTATCATTCATACTTTTCTCTGCCCTTTAATATAATGCACGCTCTCTCTCTCTCTCTCTCTCTCTCTCTCTCTCTCCCCCCTCTCTTTTTTGGCTAGGCAATGGGGTTAGGTGACTTGCCCAGGGTCACACAGCTAGTGTTATGTATCTGAGGCCGGATTTGAACTCAGGTCTTTCTGAATCCAGGGTCAGGTGCTCTATCCACTGCGCCACCTAGCCGCCCCTAATAAAATGCCATCTCCGTAAAAGAAAGAAGAAAGCAAAACCTATTTCCTTTTCTTTATGGGTGCCCCATCCATTGCTAGTCATGTGGATAAGACCTTATAGTGGTAATTCTTTCAAAATGTGTGTAATTAGGAAATTATAAATTATTTTAAAATGAGAAACTATTTATATAGATCTAATTTGGTTGAAAGGATTGCTAGTGTGTTTATTAAACAGTTGTTTTATGTACGGAATTTTAAAATAACTTTATGATTTCATAGTTTAAATGGAAAGAAAACAAGTATTGTATGTATACAGAGGAAAATTTTACAATTTTTAAATTTTGAACTTAAGAAAATTATCATTTTTATGTACATAGAGCAGAATATGGTAAATTGTATATGAAACTATAGAACTCTTATGTACTGCTTGTTTATATTTTAAAATATGCTTAAAATTAACATGTAAATCTGAAAGCTGTGCTACTTGTTTTTTATTCTTTTTAACCTTCCTTCTACTTACTTCTATGCATTTTAAAAATGATGCTTCAATGATCCTGTTTCCTTCCTTCCTTCCTTCCTTCCTTCCTTCCTTCCTTCCTTCCTTCCTTCCTTCCTTCCTTCTTTCTTTCTTTCTTTCTTTCTTTCTCTTTCTTTCTTCTTTCTTTCTTTCTCTTTCTTTCTTTCTTTCTTTCTTTTTCTTTCATTTCCCTATCCTTACCCTTCCTTTATCTTCTCATACCCAAATTAGAAAAAGGAAAAGAAAAAAAATCCCTGTAACCAGATATGTATAGTCAAGCAAAACAAATTCCCACATTAACCATATGTGAAAATGTATGTCTTATGCTTTATCTTTATCTTTGGATGAAGATGGATCTATGGAATTGTAGTTGGTCACTGCATTTATTAGGCTTCTTAATCTTTCAAAATTGTTTTTATTTATAATGTTACTGTTGTCATATAAATTGTAGTCCCTATTGTTAATTCACTCTGCATCAATTCACAGAATTCTTCCCAAGATCTCTGAAAGTGTCACTTTTGTAATTTCTTATAGCGCTATATCCCCCCCACATATCAGTTTATTATATGTCTTGGAAGTGACAGCCTTAGAGAAACATGCTGTAAAGATTTTTTTCCCCAAGTTACAGTTTCCCTTCTAATTTCATCTAATAAGTTTTGTTTATGCAATATATTTATATATATATTTTTTTACTTTTATATAATCCAGTCTTCTTTACCTTATGTTATCTACTCCATCCCTTATTTGGTTATTCCAATTCCAATATCTTAAGATAATTTTTCTGATTGTTTTGTGATAAATTATTATGAAAGGTTATTATGACCTTACAGATCTAAATTAGTTAAGATTTAAAAATTCTAAACATTTAGATGCTTTGAAATCTTTCATTTGAACATTTATAAGCCATATCTACACCTTGATTTGAGTAAAAGTTTAAAATGGCTGAGCCTTTAGCATCAGTAATGGCTACAATGATCTACATGATTTTTAGATTCATTTTCTTGAAGAAGGCATATTAACTACTCACACACTAAAGGAATGGCCAATATGGACCATTAAAGCCTAGAGACAGTTTCTATTCATAGGAATATGGGATCAAGAAATTTAAATATGGAAAGGATGTTAAAAGAAATCTGATTCAGGCTTCATTTTACAGGAGAAAACAGGTCCAGAGAGGTAAAATGGTTTGCTCAAAGTAATACAAACAGTAAGTAGCAATTTAAGCCAAGAATTTAAACCAAGGTTCTCTGACTTCGAATACAATAATATTATTGTTGTTGTTGTATGTGTGCATGCTTCCTCAGACTTCCTATGTTATAAATTGGAAGTTTCTAAAGAGGTTTACAGGGATGTGGAGATTGGAGGATTAAACTGAAAAGACTTTTCCTGCTGAGGAGGAATCAAATTGCTCAGTGAACCTATCACACAATGGAGTTGCTATAGATTCTCTGATTTTCCATTGCCACCAGAATACACTGGGTTTCTCTGCTTTACTTAAAATGAGTTTCTCTGGGATTCTCTTGCTACTCATTGGTTTTTTCATGTAATATGTATAATCATTTGCTTTTAGGCACAAACTCATGGAAAGTGGCCAGTCAAGTGGTATGCTCCAGAATGCATCAATTACTACAAATTCTCTAGCAAGAGTGATGTTTGGAGCTTTGGAGTGCTAATGTGGGAAGCATTTTCCTATGGACAGAAACCTTATAAGGTGAGTTATTGTTAATTGGCTGCTATAACTGTAATTATGTGCCCATTGTAAGCAGCAAAAAAATAAATCAAGTGAGAAATAAGGCTCATAGTTCCACCCGATTGATTTCTACTTTAGCTTTACATGAGAGAATCATCTTCAGCCCTTCTTTTTTATTAGGACCAAATTTATTGAAATTTTCCACTTGGCATTCTGAAATGAGGATCTTTCCATAGTACAAGACTAGAATAACATCATAAATTTCTTTTTCCTGTGTGTTTGAGTATGGGACCTCAAGTGATGGCTAGTAAAACTGAATCATTGGCTTGCTTTATTTTTTACATATAATTTCTAAATAACTAATTTGAGGAGTTGTGTTTGTAGCACATTAACATCAAATTTCTTGCAAGTTGTTCTCTCCTCTACAATTATGCCTATTATTATAGGAAATTGTCCACTAAGGTGTTTTTTTTTTGATGCCTCATCATGGCATGGAGATAATCTTGAGTTTTTCTCAAAGATTATGCCGTCAGTTTGTGAACTCTGTTGGCTGTTGTCAAGAATAAGCCTAGGTGGACATAGAGAGTCTTATTACCAGAAAGATGGTGATTAAATGATTCAGTTTTTGGCTACGGTAGCTTATGGAGATGTCTAGAAAGGCATAGGATGCTTTCAGTTTGTAATGTTGGGAGAGGGAGTGAAATTATGAATCTTTTGAAGTATTGAAAGACTTGTTTTAATTTGAATTAATTCTATTTTGAGCTTTATTACATAATCTGGGATTTCTTCTTTGATCTGTAACTCATTCAGGTGATACTAAAAACACAATTTTATCTTGGTTTTAGAAATAGAAATAATACTTAACAATAATATAATAATGCATGAGGACTATCAGTGAGTTACTATGATTTATTGTATTTCTTTCACTCTAATACTGGAGTAATTTCCAAAGTGTAAGCCACACAGTTAGGAAAAAAAAATCACCCTTTCCTTCTTTGATATTTGCTTTATCCAGATTCGGATTATTTACCAATAGACTTCAACATTCCAATACTCCCTTAAATACCCTAACTACTTCATTCCTTAATCCAATCTACTATCATGACTTATTCCTCCATTCTGCCTCAGAAACATATAGAAATTGTCATACCCTCCAATTCCCAGTAAAGAACTCTGAAACTCTTTCATTACAATTATCACTCTATCTCTCTATATTTCCTCTCAAATTTATTCACTGTTCTCACCGTACAATCTCTCTACCCTCCGTAGTTCATCAGATCACCATCCCTCTTCTGGCTAAACTCATTTCTTCCCAACTTGACCCTTTAGTAAGCCAGTTTAAATATACACTTGACTTTACTCTCCAAACCCTTTACTCTTCTGCACTGTTGCACCCTGACAAAACTCACACATGGATGAGTTTTAACCTTAGATTGCTCCCTCACCTTCTGCCTTCATTCCTATCAAATATTGCTGATTAGACTTGGAGGAGATCATACAAGTATGCTTACAGTGTTCACCAAATTTATATTAACTAATTTCAATAGGGCTTTATTTTGAAAGTTGAACTCTTTTACTCTTCTCTAATTAATTCTCTATCCCACTGCCCACCCTGGACTGTTTGAAAATTTCTCATCTTTCCTCAAGCTCTTTATAGTGCCTCTGCAGCTGTGGTCTTCAAATGATTTGCTTTACTGAAGAAATAAAGACCATTCGAAAAGAGTTTTCTCTTCTCTCTTCTTTATATCACTACTGTTTGATGTCACCTTTTCCTTCTTTTCTACAGTCTCTAAAAACAAAACAAAACAAAACAAAACTCTTTTCTTCCACAAAGCCAACCTCTTTACATGTACCCTTAATCTAAGCCCTTCTTTGACAGCAACATTAATTTCCCCCACCTCCAATCATGTCTGCTTTCTAATTTGCTGTCTCTACTACAGGTTTCTTCCCTGCTGTCTACAGGGAATACAAGTTTCTTTGCTACTGCCTCCAATCCACTTATGTCATCCCCATCTTTAAAAAAATCATCACTAGATCCTGCTATCCCTGATAATTATCCTTCTGTATCTGTTCTCTTTCTCTCAGTCAAACTCCTTAAAAAAGCCTTCCACATTCTGTGTCTCCTTTTATTATCAACTTAACTGTCTTTAGCCCACTGCAGTTTGGCATTTAACAACTTCATTTAACTGAAACTACTCTCTTGATAGATAAGTCTATTAGTCTTTTCTCAATCATCCTTCTTCATCTTTCTGAAGCCTTTGACAAATGTTGACCACACTTGCCTTCTCTTTTCTCTGTCTTTCACGTCACTTTGCTCATCTGGTTATCCGTATATCTGTCTGACTGCTCCATCTTAGTCTCCCTGGCTAATCCTTCATCCATGTCATGCCCATTAACTCTGGCTTTTCTTCAAGGCTCTGCCCTCAACTTTATTCACTTTTTTCTATGTCCCATTTGGGCATCTCATTAGCACACATGGCTTCAATTACTTTGCCTGCGTAGCCCTATTGTCTTCAAGTTTCAGTCCCATATCACAAAGTGCCTATTAAACATTTTGAATTGGATGTCTCATATCTTAAACTCAACATGTACAAAACAGAACTTATTAACCCTGTGTCAAAACCCATCTGTGTTCCAAAATTTGTTTTCACCGTTGAGTGCACCACCATCTTTCTAGTGACTTTGGTTACCAAAATTGTTGTTATCCTTAACTCCTTATCCCAAATATCCAATCACTAATCTTATTCTTGTCTCCACATCTCTCTCATATGTCCTCTCCTCTCACATAGTCCCCACAATGGTTTAAGCCTTTATCACCTCTTGTGTGCAGTATTGTCTCTCATTTGGTATTCTCATCTCTATCCTCTATCCATCCTCCACAGAGCAGTCAAAGTCGTTTCCCTAAAATGCCAGTCACATTACCCCCTCTCCTTAAGAAAATCCCCATTGCCTCTAAGACAACATAGAAATTCCTGTGTTTGACATTTAAATCTCTCTAAAAACCAGTCCCCTTCTTACTTTTCAATCTTCTTTCACATTATGCCTCTTCAACCAATATACCTACCAACTTGTTCTGCATACATTACCTCTTATCTGCATGACTTTGCTCTAGATGTACCACATCTCTGGAATGCCCTCCCTCCTTATTTCTACCTCTCAGAATACCAGGTTTCTTTCAAGATTCACCTCATGTACAACCTTCTACAGAAAACCTTTTCTGACAAACCCTGGCACCAATACTAGTACATACCCTCCTCCAAACTACTGTTAGTTTGTTTTGTATATTTTATGTAAATAACATGCTTTCTCTTAATTAAAGGGGAGAGACTATTTAACTTTTGCCTTTCTATCACTATTGCTTAGCTCATTATCCGACATACAATAGGTGATTAATAAATGCTTGTAAACTGAGCAATGGATTGATTCAGGAGATGTCATTTAATACATTACTGCTGCAATGGATTCTGAAGATAATATGCCCAATTAACTTCCCTTCATGATTATGGCCATTGCCATCAAATAAATATGTAGATTATGGTGCTTTAAGATTCTTGGATCAAAGAAATTGATACAAACTGACGAGTATTTTTAAGGTGAGTTGCAGTAGAAATAGTTACTACACATATCTATTTTATCACCTCAAATGCCTTTCACCTTTTTTAGGGAATGAAAGGGAGTGAAGTTTCGGTAATGCTAGAAAAAGGAGAGAGGATGGAGTGTCCTGCAGGTTGTCCAAGTGAAATTTATGATCTAATGAAACTATGTTGGACGTATGAGTAAGTACAGCATATTTCCCTACTGATTTATCAAATTGCTTTAGTTACTAGGAATATCTCTGGTTTTCATATATAAGATATATATGTAGGCCTATGTAAGGTATGTATGTCCATATGGGTAGTCTAAATGCTGCTCAACAGTAGGTAGGATGGATAGATAACTTAGGAACTGGCCAACCACTCTCTAATAGAAATTGCTTTGAGGAGAGAAGGAGCAGGGTCATAGCTGAGCATTTGTCCATCTCCTAGTCTATTTGCAAGACAAGGGCCAGACTAGAATACCTGCCCCCTTCAACTATTGCTGGTATAAGAATACAAGTCTGAAAAAAAAAAAGGAGCTTCCCTTTGTCACTAACTCTTAGCTTAAATTCATCAGTTTAGCCTTTTCCCATCAGCTGCTGGTTACACAAGACTATCACAGATGGCAAAGAGTCAGTAAATGAAATAGAAATTGGAAATATTCTATAGATTAGAATATACCAGAAAGCACATAAGGCCAAATGAACTCTTTAGATGAGAGTGAGATAAAATTTCTGTTCAATCAAGAGAGAACCTCTGATCTCACCCAATGGCAATTCTCACTCTGAAGTCTCTAGGTGGAAATCATGAATATGTTGAGGAAAATGTATATATGTGTCTATGTATGTATACACCTAATTTCTGCCAGACTGTTTTCCAGTTTTCCAAGCATTTTTAAAAATAGTGACTACTTAGTCCAATAGCTGAGAACTTCTGTTTTATCAAACACTGGGTTATTGTAATCATTTGTGTTCATATGTTGTATACTTCATCCAGTCCACTGATCAACCTTTCTATTTCTTAATCAGAACCAAATTGTTTTGTTGATTACCAGTTCATGATATAGTTTTGCTTGGTAGCTAGGTGGTGCAATGGATAGAATGCCAGGCCTAGAGTTAGGAAGACTTGAGTCCAAATTCAGCCTCAGAAACTTACTAGCTTAGTGAGCTTGGGCAAGTCACTTTATCTTGTTTGCCTCAGTTTCCTTCTTTGTAAAATGAGCTTGAGAAGGAAATGGTAAACCACTATAGTATCTTTGCCAAGAAAACCTAAATGAGGTCATGGAGAGGTGGAAACAACTGAACAACAACATAGTTTGAAATCTAATATTTCTTACGCTACTTTCTCACTTTAAAAATTATTTCTCTTGAAATTCTTGAACTTTTTTCCTGATAAATTTTGCTATTATTTTTTCTAGCTCTGTAAAGTTATCATTTGTTAGTTTGATTGGCATGGCTCTGAATAACTAAATTAATTTAGGTAGTATTATTATTTTTATCATGTAGCCTCAGCATTTCCATGAGCAATTAACATTTCTCAAATAATTAAGATTTGTCTTTACTTATGTAAAATGTTTTAGTTGTATTCATATAGTTCCTATATGTAACCTTGCAACTGAACTCCCAAGTATTTTATATTTTCTGTAATTATTTTAAGTAGAACTTCTCTTTCTATCTCTTCCTAGTGGAAACTAAGCCAAAATTATAAAATTCAGCAAGGAAAAAGTTAGAATAATTAAATTCAACTGTTAATAAATCTTTCTTATAATAGCAACATTGATGAGATAAATTCAACTTTAATTTCAGTGCATCAAAAGAAAAATGAAATAATATAAGAGCATGAAAATGAACATTTAGAAAATCCAAAATACAATTATTTTCAATATTGGTAGTAAAACTATAAAATCCTATTCAAAAGAAGCAAGAAGAACTAAGTAAATAAATTTTAAACTCCCAACCAGACAAAGTTAAAACAAAAATTGAAAAAAGACTTATCCTGAGGTGATAGGTAAATAGCTGGGCTAGTAGCTGTGTAGTTGAATAATAGAAATAACTAGTGCCCCTGTCTGGCTCCCTACCTTTGTGTGGGTAGAGCCTCTCCTTTCTAGCTTCCCCCTTCAGACTTAGTTCTGGGCTTCATTTTCCCCTTAGTTATTGCTCTCATTCTACCACTTGGGGAAAAGATTTCTGTAAACTTTCCAGAGTGGGAAGGGAAAGTTGTCTTGTATTAGAAACTTCTCCTTAAGTGCCAGACTCAGAAATACCATAGACTCATTTGTGTCACAGATCAGGATCCATTTAACTTTTTCACTGGCTTTAGGGGCTTTAAAAGTGAACATTATTAATTTTTTCTTCCTCTGGATCCCCTAATTAGTGAAAAACCTCAACAAATTAGAAAGAGAATCTCTTTATGTCTCTCTCTCTTTCTCTTGTTAGCCTATCTCTGTCTCATTTAGCCTGTTTCTTGAGCACTCTTCGTCTGTGTCTCTTTCTTATTGTGATCATTGCTTCCCTGTCAACTGCCGTTAAATAAAATAAATATAGACCATTAGTGCATTGGTTTAACCATAACTTTAGCTTAGTACTAGCTTTTAGAGCCCAAGTTCCTAGAAATGCCAAATAGACTTCAAAGAAAGAGATACACTCTGGAATTCATACATCTTTCAGGAAGAAGGTGGGAGAAGAGTGTCTTGGAAAACAAGGACAACCATAGTTGTTTTGCCATGTTTCAGTATCTCATTACTGGTTGGAAAGTTACACTATATAAAGTAAAAACACATTATAAAAACTCCAGCATTTTTATCATGCCAACAAAATATTGTATAACTTTGTTGAAGCTGTTACATAATTTCATTTAATTTGTTATTTGACTGTTCAGAGTGCTCTCAGTAAACCATAACATCATTGCCCCCCCCAAGTTATTATTTTGCTCCACCTGTACCTATGCTTATTGCTTCAATTTCTTTTTCTTGTTTTATCAATATAGCTAGGATTTGTGGCATCACATTGAATAGTTATGTGATAATCAGCACTCTTACTTTATCCCTGGTGCTACTGGAAAAGTCCTACTTAATTCCCATTACATACAGATAATGCTCATTCTTGGTTTTAGGTGGATACTACTTATGTTAAGGAAAGATCCATTTATTACTAGACTTTTTAGGATTTTTAATAGGAATAGGTGTATTTTTTTGAAAAAAGTTTTTTCTGTATCTGTTGAGATAATCATAAGGTTTTTGTGGAGCTTGCTATTAAAATGGTCAATTATTTTAATAATTTTGCTAATATTGAACCAGTCTTGCATTCCTGTTAAAAATACAACCTGGGCATAATCTTTTGATTAATTGCTAGACTTTCCTTGATAATATTTTATATAAAATTTTTGCATCAGTATTCATTAAGGTAGACAATTGTGGTCTGTGGTATAGTAGAAATAACTGGATTTAGAATGAGACAATCAAGGCTTTGGTGCTGGCTCTATCATTTCTTATCTGTGTGATCTTAAGCAAGTTATCTCATCTCTCCAGGACTCCTATTTCCTGTTATTAAAATGGTTGGATCATAGAATCCTTCTAACCCTAAGTACTTTGATTCTAGAAATATGATTAGAAGAAGGGAAAAAAAACCCAGGACCATTAAAATTGCTTGCTGATATATTTTGTTTTCAGTGGTTATGTCTGTAGCTACACAAGCAGATTTGAGTGACAATAGCATCCATGCACATTATTACATCAAAGACACAATGTTTAAGATGCATCTCTTTCCTGAGGCCTTAGCCCCAAATTGCAATGTTTAGATCCCTGAGTGAGTTTTTGTGTCACTATGTGGTATGAAGTATAAGCAAAGAAAATAATGGTGAGCTTTAGTCAATGAACAAACTTGGAGGACCATCAAAGCCTCCTTTTTATAACACTCAGAAGTAGCTCAGTTCATACTTTCTTTAAGTGTGTAATTATAAGCATACGATACAAGAGAAGATATTGATTAGAGAAATGCAAGTTAAAACAACTCTGAAGTACCACCTTACACCTATCAGATTGGCAAATATGACAGAAAAGGAAAATGATAAATGTTGGAGAAGATGTGGGAAAATTGGGACACTAGTGCATTGTTGGTGGAGTTGTGAACTTATCCAACCATTCTGGAGAGCAATTTGGAACTGTGCCCAAAGGGCTATAAAATTGTTCATGCCCTTTGATCCAAAAAATACTACTACTAGGTCTATATCCCAAAGAGATCATAAAAAAGGGAAAAGGACACACATGTACAAAAATATTTGTAGCAGCTCTTTTTGTGGTGGCAAAGCATTAGAAATTGAGGGAATGCCCATTAATTGGGGAATGGCTGAACAAGTTGTGGTATATAAATGTAATGAAATACTATTGTGCTATTAGAAAAGATAAGCAGGTAGGTTTCAGAAAAACTTGGAAAGACTTACATGAACTGATGCTTAGTGAAGTGAACGTAACCAGAACATTTTACATAAACAGCAACATTGTGCTATCATCAATTATGATTGACTTAGTTGTCAGCAATACAATGATCCCAGACAATTCCAAAAGACTCATGATGAAAAATGCTGTCCATCTCCAGAGAAATAACTATGGTTTGAAGTATACTATTTTCCCTTTTTTTGTTTTTTTTCTTTCTCATGTCCCCCCCACCCCGCCTGTTCTGTTTCTTCCTTAACAATATGACTAATGTGGAAATATGTTTAACATGATTGTACATGTATAACCTATATCAGATTGCTTGCTGTCTTGGGGAGGGGATTTGGAACTCAAAATCTTACTAAAATGAATGTTTTAAACTATCTTTACATGTAATTGAAAAATACAAAATATTATTCAAAAAAAGAAAAGAAGTATTATGAGTGAAGCAACTGAGGTAGAATGTTAGAGCCAAGTATACCTTACTGCAATATATGTGATATTTAAGGATATGTTTGGAATTTTAAACCTATAAATGAGCAAATTGATATTAGTTGCTAAAAATGAACAAGCAAATATATTTCTATATATACAGACACACAGTAACATACAACTATTAGGATCCTGTAGTTTTTCTCTCCTAGAATCAAGGCTAACATTCCTATGTCGTAACTTAAGAGAAATTGATAACTCTCTAAAGCAAAGGCTCAATTGTCCATTTACCAAAGAATATGTCTCATGACTATTGTATTTGCCAGTTATCAAGATAGTTAAAAATAAAAGTCTATACTATGGTGCCCTCTGTTAGTTCATGCTAATGTTTTATTCTCCTGCATAGATGATTATGCAATTTCCTTGCCTGCCAGTAATTTTTACTTATACTTCTAAGCTGCTAATATCTCTTCATTTCCAAAAAATTACAACAATACCCATCTCCTCTAGAATAAAGAAATTTTTATGGTACCTTAGATCATGGAATTGTAGATAAAAATTTCAGTATCACGAAAGCAATTTAGTTCTTCACTTGTCATCCAACGTGTCTAGTCATTCCCCTTGAATCCTTGAGAAACAGACAACTAAAACATTCCTAAAATGTATCAGAGATAGGACATTTCTTATATTAAAAATTGTATTTGGTGGGAAATAGTACAGGAATATAATATTTCATTTTGGAACCCCATCTTGTGTGTTGCCACACAATCATTTCTGCTTGACCTCCCTTGAGACATCAGGGATTCCCTGACCCCCCCCCCCATCTTATCTGAGACTAAAGTCCACTACACTACCCAGAGAGCTGTTGGAGACCCACCTAGTCTTTGGTGTCACTCCCCCCTTACCCCCATGATGGTTTTCCCAAAGCACCCATATCCTAAAATAAAAAGTTGAAGAATAAAGAGATGTAAAAAAAAATTAAAAAAGAAAGAATACTACAAACCAAAACACACATCCTGAAGACTCATTAATACAACTTTTGTCATGTGAAACTTTATGGTAATTAATCTTATTTTACTTATTTTTATATTAAAGTGAAAATAAAACTTTGCCTGGATTAAACAATTTCCCCTTCTTTCTCATGCTTATAAATTTCTTAATTTAGTATAATGATTTCTAAATAGAGACCAGTTTTTTTAATGTTTTGTTCTCTGACTTCTCAATGTCCTTCCTAATATGTGTTCAGCTCAGAGCTGAACGCAATGCTTCAAATGTATACCAAGCTTGTTACTTTGTATAATTATATATTTGTATAATATGGTATCTCCCATCCCAGTAGATTTGTAAACACCTTAAAGGCAGTGGCAGTTTTCTTTTCACGTTTGTTATCTTTTTTTTTTTTCTGAGGCAATCAGGGTTAAATGACTTGCCCATGGTCACACAGCTAGTGAGTGTTAAGTGTCTGAGGCCACATTTGAACTCAGGTCCTTCTGACTCCAAGACTGGAGATCTATCCACTGCACCACCTAGCTGCCCCTTCACATTTGTATCTTCACCACCCCCAGCAGAGTACTCTGAATATAACAGGAACTTAATGCTCTTTTTTTTTTTTTATGCATTGCATTGAGTTGAATTGTTCTCATTAGTGGCACAGTATTGACACTCAAAATAAAGTGATGCCTGGGAATTGAAGTGGACAATTTAACACCTGATTGGCACTAGCTGTGGTCTTCATTTTATTCAGCCCTCTACATCATCCTGCGAAGTTTCAGATAAGAGTCCTAACATTTGGACAAAGCATAGCCTTTATGATGAACTTTCCATGTTTTCTTTTGATACCAGAGATGGTCACTTCTGGTCAGTCCTTTTTTTGCAATGGGATTTTGATTCTGGCCCCACCTTTTTCTGTTCATTGCTGGCAATGGATACATATTACTTCTAATGGCATGAAGAGGTCACATTCTATCTCCTCTCCAAATTAAACCTTTTGTTTGCTAGTCATTCCATAATTAAGCACTTCTCTTTTATTTTTTTTTAAAGATGGCACTAGAACTACACATAACTACCCTTCTAGAAAATTTTGTCTGCCTTCCCTTTGTGTTCCTCCCCAATTTAATACCCAGACTTAACTTTTGGCCTTGAAAGTTTATAGCTTTTCTTTTTTTTTTTTTTGGCTGATGTTGGTTCTTTACTGTTTTATTATTCTATTTCACTTTACTTCAATAGTTCATCTGTCCATTAATATTTTGTTGGTTTTTAGCAAGGTATATTTTGTCTTTTTTAAAAAAAATAAAATAAAATAATAAAAGGCAATCTGAAATTAGAATACACCAATAGTTTTTTTTTTAAGTGGCAGGGTATAGCAGTATCAGGCAATATAAAAGTGTCTTTTCTCATATGTATGTTCCTAAAAAAATAATACTTCTCTTTTCATTTCAGCATTGAAAACAGACCTGCATTTTCAGCTGTTGAATTGCGACTACGCAATTACTACTATGATGTTGTTCATTAACACATCCAGAACCTCAACTCTTGTTTCCTGTGGGAGGAATCATAGACAGCCTTCATCGGAAAAGCTATAAAAGAAAATCCATCTTCTTCAATGAATTTAACTTACATTTTATTGATCATGCTAAGCCCACCTTTCAGTGTTACCAGATTGAAGAACAAAACTGTCTATGACACAACTGTTGTTATAATTTCCTTCACTTACATTCAACACAAGCTTTGTTCAAAGATATATACTTTACAAAGCAAACATGGATACACAATAACATTGAGAGAGAGAGAGAGAGAGAGAGAAGTGTGGCAGGACACAAAGGGTAGTAGAATATGGAAGAGGACAGTAGAATCAAAGGAGTCTGCTAGATTAATTTGATTTCATTTTTATATAGCTTTCATGACAGTCTTTAAAACATATTTTAATGAAATTTCTTTTACATTTTAACAGTTCTCTGCCTCCTGTTCATACATTTGAATACTGAATAGGCCTAGAGGCATTGTAAGAAATATTTTCACTATGTAGGCTATCATAGAAGAATTATTCAGGATTAGACAATGTGAAAAAGGATAGAAAGGGATAGAAAGGAATGGAATGCAAAAGGATGGAAGGAGAAAGAGAGAGGTAGTAAGGCAACAGGTTAAATACAGGATCATCTTGATGGGTTTCAAATTTTCTACAGTAAAATATTTCTTGAGAGCAAAAGTGCATTTGCAAAATCAAACAACCAGTGAAGATTGTATTAATATGTTGACTTGAATGGAAATGAATTATTTTATATTTACTTTTGCTTTGTTAGATGAGATAGGAGAAATAGCAATGAGAAAAAATATAAAAATTGCATTTTATTTTTAATAAATGAATTGCTTTTGTTACCTTATTCCTAGCTAATCTTTCTGTTATAGGCCACTATGATATGCATATTTGCAGAGGGAAGATTAAGCACATTTTGTAGGGGGGATACCTTAGGAAAGGCACAGTAGACATAACCTATTACTGTTTGAAACTAATAAAGCATTTTCCTGCTCTTTTGGTTTGGCAGAAGACTATTCCATATCTTCTTGATCTACATTCTTTCAGTTGTCATAAATGTGTTACAAGCTTTCACCGTTAACTTCTCAACCAGAACACAGCATCTAGACCTGAATTCCTTGACTCGACTGCTGTTTCTCTTCCCCTTCACCAATCATTTCCTACCTGCCCCCTCCCCAATATGCATGTTGGGGCCTGAGAGTATTCAAATTAACAATGGTCTCTAAATATGAGATGCTTAGATGATAATCACTTTACAATTTTATAGTAGAAACTTTGCCTCTATGCAGGAAAAACAAAACAAAACATAAGAACAACTACTAGGACAGAAGTGTGGGGAAAGGGAAGGAGCCAAGGTGACCTATTCCTGTAGCCATGGAGATGTGCTCAAAAATAAAGGCCAAAATAAATAAGAATCATTAAAACGAAAGGGGTTTTGAGTTAAGAAGTTTAGGGAGAAAACTGTAAGGTCCTAAAAGATAACTTCCCGTGCTTTCCTTTACTGAGGGTGACAAGATACCTTTATGAGAATTGTTTTTTTATAGGCTCACTTAAATGCTTTCTAAACTTTGCTGAAGAGACTACCAGGGCTGCAAAAACAGACTAACCTGAGCAAACATCTTATGTAGTCACTTAAGGGCGCTTCAGAAGTTGTTATCCCAGTTATGTGACTTATGTGATAATTTTTAAAAGTTGTATTGATGTGTTTTGTTTTATTTTGCTAATATAGTATTCAATTTAATGTATGTTTTTAAAATTTAATCATGCTTTTCCCTCACATTTATTCTTCGTTATTGTTGTTGTTAGATTGTGACTTTGTGTTTATGTAAGGCCACAATTAACCATAATTCCAGAAATGTATTTTTGAGCTGTAGAAATTAAAATTTGATTCAGAAAGCTCTGCTGGCCCCTCTAACAAAAAGCTCAACAAGCAGTAGTTTGCATTATCTGCATATTCAGAAAAACCAATGGTTTTTCAAAAGACATCTTACAGAAGCTCTTTTCTTAATAAAAATTACAACTGAGCTTTGTGGTTATTTTCAGATAAATTATTCATAGGGCTACCTGTTAGCCTCAAGAGCAGGAATTTTCTTTTAGATAAATGGCATTAAACTAAAACCAAATATTCACAATTCATCTTTTAGGAGCAAAAATAAAACCTTTAGTTTATCATTTAGATGGCTCAGATTACTATATCTTTCACTGTATATATTCACTTATCTTTGTTATCAGAGGCTGAAAGAATCTAGCTGCAACAGTTGGGAACTAATAAGATTTTTCCCGGGTGAGGATTGAACTTGTCCCTTCAGACATTTAGGATCAAATATAAGCTCCTCTATAGCATTTAGAAACCTGACAGAACCTATTTTAGTTATTATTTCTTATTTAAGAATGGAAATTTTCTTTTTTTAGTAGCATTTTATTTCTTCCAATTATATGTAAAGATAGTTTTCAACAGTCATTTTATAGGAGATTTTGAGTTCCAAATTTTTCTCCCTCCCTCCCTCCCTCTCTCCCCAAGATGGCAAGCAATCTGATATAGGTTATACATGTACAATCATGTTAAACATATTTCCACACTAGTCACGTGAAAGAAGAAACAGAAAAAAAGGGGGAATCCACAAAAAACAAAACAAAAGTGAATGCTTTAATCTGCATTCAGACTCCATAGTTCTTTCTCTAAATGTGGATAGCATTTTCCATCATGAGTCTTTTGATTCATTGTGTTGCTGAGAAAAGCTAAGTCAGTTACAGTTGATCATCTCACAATGTTGCTATTATGGTATACAATTTCAACAAACCAGCAGATGATGATGGAGTTTAATAGCTTTTAGAATAATAGTAATCTTATCCTCAGAATATTCATTGTTAGCCATAAAGAAGGGGTTCCTGACTTTCTTTGTATCATGGACCCCTTTGGAAGTCCAGGAAAGCTTATGGACCCCCTTCTCTGAATAATGTTTTTAAATCTGCGAAACATATAAAGTTACAAAAGAAATGAATTATGTTAAAATTATTATCATTTTTTAAAAAAGTTTATAGACCTCAGGTTAAGAACATTAGGGGGGAAATGAGTAGGACAGTATTGACCAGAAAACATCAGAAAATGTGCTTATTATATGCTTAATGTACCATATTACTAAAGAAGTTACTTGATACACTGTGATATCATCTATGCCTCCTATTGGGGAAAAAAAAAGGTTCTCTTCTGTAGAATGGGCATTATACTTTTTGCACTAGTTTTGTGAGTCTGGGCAAGTCTCTTATCCCTGTTTACCTCAGTTTCCTCATCTATAAAATGAGCTAGAAAAGGAAATGACCACTCCAGTATCTTTGCCAAGGAAACAGCAAATGAGGTCATGGAGAGTCAGACATAATTGAAACAACTCAACAAAAACCAAGTAGTGGCCTTTCCTAGTGAAAAATTTGTGACCTTAGTAGCATGAAAATCTGTTTGCCTTGCTTATTGAGGGTAAATAGCCTTGCCTCAGAAAAAAAAAAATCTTTGAATAATTTGTATGAAAGCAACCTCTTGAGTAATGGATCAAACAGAGGCAAAATTTATAGATGAAAGTTTCAAATCTCTCAAGCTCTCTTTTTCTTTTACTTAACTCTTAGGCCTAGTGTTATATTAGCCATCACAAGTCACCTAGAAGAAATCATGCTTTATGATTCTATTCAGTAGGGCTCTACATGCTGCCCCTACCAAAAGTATGTATTATAAAAGAGTGACTCTGGAGGGAGCCAGAAGTCTACAAAGAAATGAACTGAAACAGTGGTATTGCAAGCATCGGTGGGGGGAGGGAGGGAAACTTTTAATACTGTGTGCATGCATGAGACTAGCCTTTGTCTTACAACAATTTCCTTTCTCCTCACATTTTTATCATGAGGAAGTGACTTCACCATCTTGGACCTCAGATTTTTCAACTGTAAAATGAGGAGTTTGGACTAGATAACTAAAGTTCCTTCCAGAAGATCTACAACAGTGCCAATATACATATCTAAACACACATATGATGGGACATATTCTTAAGAAAACAATCAATTTTGTTTATTTTTTAATATAAATTTATTTATTTTTAGTTTTCAACATTCACTTCCACAAGTTTTTGATTTCCAAATTTTCACCCCCCCTCCCCCCTCCCCCCACCCCAAGATGGCATGTATTCTGAATATCCCTTCCCCTAGTCTGTCCTCTCTTCTATCTCTCTCCCCTTCTCTTATCCCCTTCCCCTTCTATTTTCCTGTAGGGCAGGATAAACTTCTGTACCCCATTTCCTATATTTCTTATTTCCCAGTAGCATGTGAAAACATTTTTTAAAACATACTTTTTTAAAACTTTAGGTTTCAAATTTTCTCTCTTCCTCCCTCCCCACCCACCCTCACTGAAAAGGCAAGCAACTCAAAAACAACCAATTTTGGCATGACAAGGTGACCCAGACAGCATTAACCTGATGTTTCATTGTCGTAAACATGTTATTTGCTACTTTTTTTCTGAACCCCACCACCAAATAAAGCAAGACAAAAATCGCTTTGTACATATCTATTCCAGGTTATGAGAGGCCCTTGTGGTACAGTAGAAATAACAACAGACTGGGGATCAAAGGAGCAATCTGCAAGTCTTGGCTTTGCCAGGAATCTTGGGCATCACTTACTACCTGTAGGCCTCAATTCTCTCATCTGTAAAATGAGGGATTCCACTAGATTACCTCTAAGATTGCTTCAAGTTCGAAATCTATGATGCCAGGAGCACTTTCTGAGATACAATAAAATATTTTTAGAGGAAGAATGGTATATCAATTAAAATACTTTATTTGAAGGCAGGAAGACTTGATATAAATCCTATCTTTGCCACTTACCAGATTATTCATGAACATTTAGGTTAAAAGCCATCCAAACACAACTCATCCCATTCATATCACTTGTCATTTTTGTTTCCCATTTGATTTGCATTAATAATCCAAGTAATCATACACAATCCTGTCTATTTCTCTAGATTTCAAAGAGCTATTTTTCTAAATGTTAAGCACAAGTTTCCTGGTTATTTAATTAAAGTCATGATTTGCAAGCATTACATTCCTCAAGATCATTCAAAAATTCTTTTTTTCATCAAAAAGATAGTTCTTTCTTCTCTGAAAATAAAGAGCCAGTTTCCTAACTGTTTATTCTTTATGTCTCGGACAGAATAACAATGCTAAATATATAAGTATAAATAACCTCAAAGTCTTTATAGGAAGTAAAAATCAATTCAAGAAGTTTCAGTTGAGAGAAATTGGTTTGATTTCTCTGCCACATAAAGGAAGGACAAAATTGTGCAGCCAGATATTTTTAAAGGTTAGTCAGCAGGAAAGGAAATGGAAGTGCTATCATTTAACAAGTTATCAATTTCATAAAATAAGGCTCTTATCACTGATCTCTGCTAAGCCAAAAACATAAGAATAGTAATGATGGAGGAAAAGTGTACTGTATAATTATCATGCAGTAAGATTCCTTCCTCTTTCTAATTATCCAACATTTATATATAGTGCTTACTATGTGCCAGGCAATATCCTAAGCGCTTTGCAATTATTATCTCATATGGCCCTTATAGCAATCCTGAGAGAAATGTATTGTTATCCTCATTTTGCAGATGAAGAAACTGAAGTAAACAGAGGTTTAGTAACTTATGCAGGGCCACATAGCTAACAAGTGAATGGATTTAAGTGAGGCTGGTTAAACTCAGGTCTTCCTTACTCCAGGACCAAAGCTCTGTCTATCATGTCACCCAGCTGCAAAAGATTATAAAATAATAGCAATAATATTGATTTTTTTTGTCAAAGGGGAAAGAATAGTAAAATATTTAACAAAGCAGGAGTCTGAGAACCAGGCTTTCCTTAGCAACGATTTCCAATAAATACAGTAGGTGCTTTGTCAACCCAAATAAGAATCTTCATAATCAAGACTACTCAACGCTATTTGAAGTTCATCAGACTACAAAAAAGAAACCACCCTCACCCCTTGCCAAACACCCATCCTTTCTTTCTTTCCTCAAAAGTAAAATTTTAGGAAGAACCCACTGTAAGATGCCTAGTCAACCAAATCCCCATCTGCTAAATATAAGTTCTAATCCCAAAAAGTTCATGTAAAGAGTACAAATTTAAACCTTTAGATGATAGACAGGTAAATAGATAAATAGAGCTTTGAATCACTACTAATGCAATTGCAAAACAAAGGAAACTTGAAGTTTCAACTCATCCTGTAAATTGGCAAAGATGATACAAAATAGCAATAGTCAATGTTGGAGGAGTTACGGGAAGATTGGCACATTGATGCATTGTTGGTGGAGCTATGAATCAGTGCAACTATTTTGTAAAGCAATTTGGAATTATGCAAATAAAGTGATTAAAGCACCCATATTTTGAGCCAGAGGTTCCACTACTAGGAT